GATAGATAGATAGATAGATAGATAGATAGATAGATAGATAGATAGATAGATAGATAGATAGATAGATAGATAGATAGATAGATAGATAGATAGAGAATGATTCTTTACTGAATACTGATTGGAGCTTTTCATCTTTGATGTTGCAGGCTAGCCTTTACAGAGGAGGGTGCAGTCGCTTCACTCCCTACTAGAAAAGAGGGACAGGCCCCCCTTTGCTTTGCCGCAGACATAAAAAGCAAAAACTCAGATCAGCTAGAAACAGCTTTCACCCCCTTCGTGATGCTTCCAGGTGGCAGATGTAACTCTGACATGCAAGAATCATCTTAAATCTGCTTCCCTGTTTACGGACTGTAAACATTTACTGATGTCATTTATTGATGTACTGTACTTATTGTTGTAAATAACAATGTGTTGATTTGAATGTTTGGATTGAAAAAGTTGAACAAAGACAGTTTTAGCCGATGTGGAGCGAGCCGACCAAAAACTAGACTTTAATGAAATTCATAGAATTTTTGTTTTGCCCTGTGACTCCTGTGAAGTGGCCTTTGGTGCCAGTTTAAATCTGTTTACCTAGACTCCTATATACTCCTATATCCATATGTTCATTACTGTGCAAAAGTCTTGAGCCAGCCCTCTTTTCTTTCTGTCGTGCTCTCAAGGAGCCAGCCTTTTTTTGGTTTTTAAAGTGGTCTGAGCTCATTCTCCAGGCGTTCTCAAGACCTTTCAAAGTTTTTCTTTGAGCTGCTTTTTCACATATTTTCAGTCTAGTTCTTGTACCTCGACCATTTTCACAGAAATTGTTTGTTTAAAGTCTCAGTACTCAGGGGTAGGGTTAGGCTGCTGAGTGATTGTGTGTTTTTGCTGTCAGTGACTGATTGTAAACAGAAGTTGAGCCTGCAGACTCCACCTGTAGGTAACCTCTGTTGGACACGAGGCAGGTACAAAGGTTACTGGATGGGAAGCGTCTTGTCTCACTGCAGCTCAGACTGACTGTAATCTTTCTCAAACACACTGGCAAAGATAAATTCAGAGGAAAACTCTTATAAATTCAGACAGATGCACATGTTGTAACTAGCCTCAGTCAGTCTGCTTTGGTGGGCTCAAATACTGAAACAAACAACGTTTTTTGGCAAACAGTTTACTGTAAATTGCATTAAATGTAACCCAGGAAAGCTTGTCTCCTTTTGCACCCGCTGTGCGTGTGATAATATCTATGTATTTAGAGTGAGGGGGGTGGCTGAAGGCTGTGACCACAGTGCCCAAACTTTGGCTCTGTCTCTTTATTTAGAGCATTTAGTGCCAAGCCTGACTTACACTACATAGTGCAGACCCGAACTGGACTAAACAGAGGATCTTAATAGAAAGATGTAAGATTAAATGTAACCTTTAATGTCTAAATGTATAATATGTCAGGATTAGTTAAACTAATATGTGCAGTATTCACAGTCTCGTGCTTTTATCTTCAGACACTCTCAGTCAAATACAAACATACAAACAGTTTAATTTGCCAGAATTAAATTTCCCATCCATTCAGCTCTATGTGACCAGCTGGGCCACTTAACTTCAATATTTAATGTGAAAAATGCTGACAGAAAAAATATGACGCTACAGTAGATTCCTAAGAAACAGCAGCACAACGATGCGAGTAGCAACAGATCTTCAATGTATTACAGTAAATTGCTGCAATATCACAATGTTTGCTTGAACCAGTTCAACTGAAAACTGACAGCAAACTGATATCATCTCATTGTCACTGCTTCCCTGTTTATGGCCACCTCGATGCACTCAGACCTGGTCCCTGCCATTAAACCAACCATGTCAAAGGTTGGGATTTTGTTAGTTGATTACTCACTTCTACAATAATTTTGGTCACACAGCAGTTTCCACCCACCGTTTATTTAAGTCACTCAAACATAACACAGTTTGACAGGCAACCAGGTGATTTCCAAGAGATATTCGCTGAAATCTTAGGATATGTTGACATGGTGTGTCGAGATATTTGAGGAAACTGGACAAATAGAGGACAAAAAAAGACATGGCAGACCTAAAAATAAATGTTAAAATAGATGAACAGTGTCATGTCCTTCAGAAATAGCAAGCACAGCAAAGGCTTGACACAGGACCTGAGAAATGATCCGCTGATCAATGATCAGCTGATCCATGTACTGAAGGCTCATCAGAATCAGGGTGGGTGCTTTTCAGTGGCAGCCATTTTAAAGAAAGGAACCAGCGAGAAAAGGCTGAGATATACCAAATTATACAGGAACTAGACTGAAAATCAGCGGCAGCAGGAATGATTAACCCAAACAACCTCAACAATGTTTCAGCAGTCTGGGACAATCTCGACAGAGAAAGGCAGCAAACACCTACTGAAGAGCTTTGAATGTCCTGTAAGAGGCCTGGAGAACTTAAAGAAGTTACAATGTTACTGTGTGTATGTTGAATGTAACAACAACATTTTCCCAGCTCTCCTGTGAAAAACCAAGTACACCCCATGATTCAACAGCCTGTAGCATCTCCTTTAGCAACAGCTGGTTATTTTGTTTCTCTATGTCTTTACAAGTAAATCACTTTGTTGTGGAGGAATTTTGACCCACTGTTCTTCATGATGTTGCTTCAGTTCATTGAGGTTTGTGGGCATTCATTAACGGAGAGCTCTCTTAAAGTCCAGCAACAGTATTTTAAGTTCTGTCGAGGTCTGGGGATTGCAACACTTTTCATTTCATTGACTCTTTGCAACTGTTGCACGACCCACTTTAAGTATTAGCTGTTGCAGAGATGCCTCAGCTTTGACTCTTCATCACTTTGTTTCAGAAGTCTTGTAGTTTGTTCAGATGAAGCTCTGCACACCCAAACCACACTGTTGTTTTTAGAGAGAAGAGACTTTCTTCTGGTGACTATGACAAACAACCAATACTTGGTCTTTTTCTAATCTTGAACTTTGCAGGCTTCAGTTACCATGTTACATGTTAGAGTCTGAGAAGTGGATTTTATGCAGTTTCTCTCAGCACTCTGAACTTGGGGTGAATTTGCTGGGACACCCACTGCCTGAAAGATTGTGGCATTACGTTAACACACCTGAAAGCTCCAAACCAGCAAACTGCTAAGACTTTTATATATGTTCACATTTGCTGGGGTCCAGTTCCCGTCCATGAACAGGAGTTTAGTTTCATGTTGACTTAGATGGACTCAAACCTGCCCCTCGCCTGTCCCTGCCCCTCAAGGAGCTGAAACTGCATCAGAAATACTAAAAGAAAGTGTTGCATTATGAAACCTGAAGGGTGAGTGGAAGAGTGGGATATTTTTTTATCTAAACTCAGCATGAATTGATTTTCTAACACAGTGTGGAGGAAGAGCTGTGTCAACCAAAATGAGAACCGTTCAGAGTCTGATCATTGCCACGGTGCCCAGGAGGTCGGAGGTATCCCATTGCTGCTGAATGTCTCTAATAGAAACAACAAAGAGCTTATACACCATACTTCATGTTTCATGACTCCTCGTGTTCTGTGGAGGAAATAATTACACGTATGCACATGTAGGAACAACAGAGGATGTTTCTCACAATGCTGTTATGAAACTGTGGTTTTCTTTCTGCCCCCTGCTTTAATATGTATATGGTCTTTATGATGTTCACCATAATGATGATAAACGAATACATCAATATTACTACTAATGACAATAAATAAACAATTAAATAATAATAAAACATTTAAAAGTACAGCTGATCCTGGCACAGTCCAGTCTGCGTATCTTGTTGCTTCTCACTCTTAAAGAAGGACACATTTTAGTTACCAGATATTTCAGTACTCTCAGTCACATAACAAAAAGATAGATCCACATTGTTTGGTCAAACTATTTAACACCTGCACGAATATCTGTTGAGTAATAATGCTGAGAGATCGCTACAGAGATGGATGTGTGATGGCTTTAGAAACATCTTTGAGAGCTGAATAAGCACCGAGCTTTTCACCAACATCAACAGTACTGTAAGTCTCACGACCCCTAAGACACACTGAGAGAGGACGGGAACTGAATATATTTGCTCAAGTAGTTTAATAATCACTAATGTAAATTTGTACTTTGTTTAGGTTTTCCATTTTTGCTGCTTTCTGCTTCTACTCTGCAATATTTCAGATGCAGTTATTGTACTTTAGTTACTTAACTTTTAAGCTACTTATTAATAGTATCATAATGTTTTTGATGTTTGAGTTAAGAAGTCTAAATACATTTTCCCTAAATCCAAAACAATAGGCAGCTCCTTTATGCCACAGCGTGAGCAAACGTGCAAACTCTTCTGATAACGCAGGGATGTTACTGTGGCTTACCGCACTCTGCGGCAGAGTATCACTTCCTGTTCCTGCTCAAACACAGTGGTGTTTCTGAGTAGCTTATCTGCTTAGCAGTTTAATTAACAACTTTTAAATACCTTCTTTTTTCAGAGTATAATCTTCACGTGCTTCATCCGAAGCACACTTTCTGTGTACTCACTACCTAACTTATAGCCAAAGTATTCACTCACTGTCTCTGTACTGTTTCGCTAGCTTAGCTTAGCTCGTAGCCGACCCGTTAGCACCATGGCTACTTCACCTGTCCCTTCTGCACTTTCTTGCTCATTGTGTCAGATGTTTAGTTACTCCTCGGCCTCCTTTAGCAGTAATGATATCTGTAACAAATGTAGCATATTTGCAGCTCTGGAGGCCAGGATTACTGAACTGGAGACTCAGCTTCGCACCCTTCATTCACCTGTAGCTAGCCAGGCCCCTGTAGCTGGTGCAGCCGAAGATAGCGTAGGCCCCGCTAGCTGTTCCCCGGCAGACCCCAAGCAGCTGGGGAAAGAGGGCGGCTGGGTGACG